CTGCAGTTTGTTATGGAAGGAAAGGTATCTGGATTAGGCCAGATCGGAAACATATGGAACATTAAGGTCTTTATGGATGATTTTATTTGTGACAAAGTAAGGAGCGTTGAGGATTTTACGAAGGATTTTGGATTGTAAGGATTGGATATGAGAGGAATTCGATGGTTTAGTGGAGCCCCAAAGCTCAATTCCGTAAGTCCAAATAGATCTTATTATTGTCATATATACGAGTCGTTTATAATTGATTGAAAGCTTAGATCGTTTGTCTAGTAAGTGCTGCAGTAGTCGAAAACGTCGGGCGGTTTATAGTCGTCTCAGTCTGGTATGGGGGTAGTTTACATTTAGTTAGGAAAACTACAAAACACATCTGATCAACTTACAGACAAATAACAATACTCTCTGGCAACAAACACGAAAGATACTATGATAGCATCAAACAAAGACTCCTCGACGTAAACCTGACAAATGGCTTGAAATGATAAAAATAAAGTTGACTTATTTGCCACTCATTTTACGGGCCCTTGACTAACCTTGACAAGATTTAAATAAGTTCTATTTTATCTCCAAAAATACGATTTATGTCTTGATTAGTTACATCTCAAAAGGATAAGAAAATTATTTGTGGAAAAAAGTAAAAAGTACATCTTGTCTTAACTTAATAAAATTGACTTATTTATTGAATATTAACTGAAGACCTCATATTCTCTGGACACCAATCCACTTATATATGACGCCTGCCCACCTGTTCGCCTCAACAATCAACCTATTGTTTGACACTACACAATTACTCAAGTCTCATTCGAGTTCGAAGGATGACCTTAGGACAACATGTGAAACAACAATCCCTCAGTTTGAACAAGATACCTCAACATCATTATCGTCTAATTCATTCAAAGGCCTTTGACTGTCGACAACGTAACTTATCGAGGGGAATACTTGCTTAGCCATCCATTCTTTCGTACTTAATGTGACTAGCCGAATTTTGAAAAATTAGTATATATTTGAATTTTGAAAAATATCATGAAGGACCGTCACGACTTTTCATTCCGATCCCCGAATTTTTCAAAGATTCATTCGGAGAAATAAATTCATTTTTACAATCTTACAATATTATTACAAATAATAAAACAATCTTAATCCTTCTTGATATTAAGTTACCTTTACACACCTCTTAAATAAGGGTTGAGTAATTGGAATTTTGTGCAAGCATCAAAGTAATATTAAAAACCGTTTCAATTTTTATTATATATTATAACAATATCTCTATTGTGCCTCACAATTGTTAATACTATTTGATGTTTTATCTTTTACTTTTGTTGAGCTGTCATTAACATACAATGTATAGGGTATATAAAAATCCAATGAATTGCGCAAGTACAAGTAGGAGAATGGGGGTTGATAAAATTGATACGCGATCATTTTTTCACTTATCCCAAATTTTTCTCTACCTCTCAAGCTAATTGGACAAGCCATTTTTGATATGTAAATCATAATAATAGACCATAATAGGTTTGCGAATCCACAAGCAGAGATAGTGGATGGAATTAGACAAAATTGGTGTCTCACTATCTATTTATCTATTTATGTTAATCCCGTTCCGTATGTAATCCGCACAATCCATGAAAATTTCATTGAAATTGAAATTAATGTCGGTGAACCCCATGAAAATATAGTTAAATTTCTTCAGAAAATTCATTTATCCATTAAACTGTGCTCCCTCCCGTTAAAAATCCAAAACCAAACAAAAATCTGTCCTCTCCAAAAAAAAAAAAAAATTAATTTTGAATACCCAACTCAATGATACTTTCGGACACTCATGATGCTATGTTTTATTAAGTTAAAGCTTCAACTATTTTTTCTTAATTCTTAAAATAGTCGAATCGTAAAAGAAAAATATTACTATTAAACTTTTCTAATATTTTAAAAATATTATTAATGGTCACACCTGCCAAAAATACTGACCATTATTGAATCTTCTGGCGTGGAACAGAATAATATGTTAACGAACGGCGCGATAATATTATCCATTGGCATATTTTCATATCCTGAATTTATTAATTGTGACCACCTGAAGAGATCTCTCGTCCAGCTTCTTTTGATCTTGGATTTATATCGCTTATTGCAGACATGCTCAGAATCAGTGAATTTATATGTCCGTGTAAGTTATTGTGAAATCTTTTGTGGTGTGTTGTTCGTACGTTGTCGTTGACTGTTGGCATGTGAAGGTCTTTGTAAAGTAATGTCGCTTACGTTCAAAGAAGCTTTGGCTGTAGTCCTGAATTTTTTTGAGTGAGAAATTTGTAGTTTTTGTCTGAACCGTGTATCTTTCAAGCGCAAATCAATTAAGCATTAGCAAGTGTAAGTTTTAATTTCAAACGACTTGAAAGGAGTGAATATAATATTCGTATTGTTAGGTTTAGTATTTTTCTTTTGTTCTTGACATGAGAACTCCTTGTTGCCTGCTTGTGCCAAATGTAGTAAATATTGAGCTTTGTCTGATGAATTTGGATATTGTCGAGGTAAATAAGAGGGCTTGTATATCCCTGTCTATTTTCAAATTATTCAAAAACAAAATTCTTTAATAAATTTAAATCTAAATGTATAAGCTAAGTAAAACACTGAAGCAACTATAAATGAGACTAAAATAGTTTATACCCATTTTAATAATGGTTTGAGTATCAATCTTTCGGTTCGCAAAGCTTAATTGTTTAAGTCATTAATTGATTGTTCGTTAATTTTAAATAAGTTTTGCTTCTTTGCACTAAATTTGTGGTTATGAGCATTGAAGAAAATAAAGTTTAAATTTAAAAAATTGTATTAATTAAAATAAATTAAAAATTAAGTGTTGTCCTAGTCCTTATAATTTCCAATTCGGTAACCCATAACGATTTTTTCTAAAACATGACAGGGTGTTTGTCTTATGGTATATCGTGAAGTTACTATCATTTGACCACATAAATGGTTTAGAAATAAGAAAAAGTAAAACATATTTCTTTTCAAAATTTTTTAAATTTGCTTTAATTTGAATATGAAAAATTCGATCACTCAACTATTTCTTTTATTATAAAAATACCTACAAGAACCATCCCTTGCTCGGGATGGAATATTAAATTTAAATTTACAATAACTATATAGGCTGCATTCCTCTTGTTAGTGAACAAAAAAAATTAAAAATATAATAATCTCAAAGAAGAAAAAAAATTCATAAAAAAATTACATATTTTCTTTCTGTATCTAAGTATTACTTTTATCTATAATTTTATATATATCTTTTTAATACTAACTTTCACATTTGTTGATCACTATATTTTTTTTTTATGTTTAATTTACTCATATTCTTTACAACTATGGGAATTCAAAAAAAAATTTAAAAATGCATACGAAAAATTGTACATATTATTTTTTGTATATTTATTCTGACAACATTGTATTTCTTTTGTATATATTTTTTATATATATTATTTATATTAACTGTCACGTCTTTTTTTTTTCACTTAATTTTATTGGATAGTTGTAAATAATTTATTAGTGTATGGAGTTGTGCCTATATATTTATGACTAGCTAGTTTTTAACAAGTTGCTTTAAAAATAAAAATCAAATACAAAAAGAATTTAAAAAAATTATTAAAAATTCATTTTACATATTTTTTCTGGAACTTTGTTCTGATAGAATTATATTTCTTTTATATACTTTTAATATTAACTTTTACAATTGTTAACACAAATTCGTCCGGTAAACTTTTACACTACTATTTACGAAATTGCAGCATCTCTTTATCTCTGTCTGGTAAAAATAAAAATTTTATTTATTTGGAATTAAAAGAACAAGAATTAATTAGATAGATAACATATTTATTGGCTTAAATACAATGTAGTCATAAGAGTCTGGCCCAAATTATGACTAAGTTAAATCATTAGTTTAACAATGATCAATTAATTTCTGTAATAAACAAATAAAGAATCTGTCATTTAATTGTTTGTGATTATTTGCAAAATAAGAAATATTCGTTATGTGGACAAATTTGTGTTAATAACTATATTTGTTATTTTATAGTTACCTATATTCTTTTTTCACTTAATTTTATAGGATAGAAATAAATATTTTATTAGTATGTGTAATTATAGCAATATCTTTATGTGTAAAATCTAAAACCAGCTGTATAAATAAATAATGAAAAAAATATCAAATACATAAACAATAAAAAAACATTGCACATATTTTTTCTGCATCTGCGTATTGTTTTTCTTTTTTTATATAGAATTTTCTATATTTTTAATATTAACTTTCACATTTGTCCATAGCTATATTTGTTATTTTAAATTTAGTTACATTATTTTTTTTATGTGTAGAACATTTTGCGTAAAAGAAAAATAAGCACGTAAGCAATTTTTTTTCTATCCAATATTCAATATTTAATCGATAGAAAAAAAATTGCTCATGTGCTTATTTTTTTTTACGCAAAATGTTCTACACATAAAAAATATAATATAAGTAAATTTAAAATAACAAATATAGCTATTAACAAATGTGAAAGTTAATTTTAAAAAAAGAAATACAACACAAGCACATAACCAATTTTGTTTTTATTTAATATTCCTTTATATATATATATATATATATATATATATATATATATATATATATAAAATGAGATATTATAAATTATTCCCATAATTTGAATTGCGGAATAAGAAATGGTTATTTCCTTAGTGGTCATCTTCAGAGCGAGATTGTTACTTTCGTACAGACAAGTCACCGGTATCGCCGCGGGCCTACGGAGCCCCCAGCGGCGGCCGTGCGAAGACGCAGAAGGCGAGCGGTAGATAGCGAAAGGGCCTAAAGGCGAAAGTAATAGACGGCAAAAATAACAAATGTGCGAGAAGTGAATGAAGATATAGAAGAAATAAATGAAGGCCTATAAGAAAACTGGTCCTGAGGAGGTGGTGGGGGGATATTGATTGGTGGTGGGGGAAGCCGCTTCCCCGCCGCCCCAGTCCCCCACAGACCTCCTATCGTACAACATGGATATCAAACTGGGTAATTACCAACCCACTTTTATTTTATTATTTTTTATATTTTTTTTCTTTTTTTTATTTCAGGTCTGTTTTGATCTCATAATATCTTTTTATTTTTGTATGTGTCATCTCGTTTCCGATTACAATTTTCCTCAACGAATTTTTTTTTTCTTTTTTAATATATTTTTATTCTCTTTGAGAATGTATTCTTCGGCGGTGTACTGTCAACAAGTGTAGCCCAAGTGTTGAGTGTTGAGCTGTACTGGTGAAGTGTAAAACTCAAGTTTCAACAGTGACATTAGTGCACATTACTCTGAAAAGGCAAATTACTTTATTTGCAGCTGTTTTAATTCAACATAACAGACTCTAAGGCTTTATATTCTTGATTACTGGGTTCGTATTTCAGTTCCTGTTTCATTGCGCACTTGAGACTGATAAAGCCCGCCAAAAGTGCATTAAGTCACCAATCCCATTTAAGCACGAGATTTTGCCTCTTTACGCAATAATATGAACGTAAATTTGTTAATAAATATACAGTTAAAAGATATATCCATTTACTGATGAAGATTGTTAATATAGACGATTCGGTGTTTTGACTGAGCAGCCGATGTGACAGGGATATTGTGACGGCCTTAGACGTAATGATAAGATAGTTTTTAGTGTGGCACAATAAAAAGCGGTTGTAGATAAAATGTTATTTTCGCTGAAAAGCCGGCATTGTCATGTCATATCTATTTGATTCCTATGCCAAAGTCTATGACGTTACCTAGACAGTATTCAAACATATCATTTAACATATTTCTCGACTTATCTGATTATTTATAGGAAGAAATGTATATTTTCATGAAATTTCCTATTTCAGACAAATAATCGTACTAATTTGAATTCAGCATATTTTTGCATAGTATCAGTATTTGGGTAAATTCTATGTCAATAGGTTCAGTTTATTTTCAAACAATCTCGCCCATTCTTCATTATTATTAGTATAACACTTGCTTTCAAACATTTTTGTTGCATTTTTTTGCTTCGGTTAGGCTTTGCTGCGATTCCATACTTGCTGCACAGTGCACCCTATTTTTGTTTGAAACTTTTGTTTTATTTATTTGTTCATCGCTTTATTTAGTTGTTTTAAAGTATAATCAAATAAGTTGTCATGTTAGTTTTTGTTATAAATGTGAACACATGGTATGCATGAGCTATTTATTCGTGTATGCGAGATTTTTTGGCATGATTTTCATATAGTACACATTCAAATAACTATTATATTTTTATAAAATTCTTTTATGAAATAGTTTCTTCTGTAGGCTCCCTAAACGTCAAATTGTCTCTTTGAGTGTTTCCCTTAAGCATACTTAGTTTGTTTTATTAGAGATTACATATAACTATGCATTACTAAGAAATAATCCTAAATATTTTATTTAGTCACATACAATTTTTTTTGTTATAAATTGTATTTATTTTATAAGAATACATTTTGGTATGACTGAATATATAGAATTTTCCTCAAGGTTTTTAAAAAATGATATTTCTTGTTCTTTAACAAGATCAGCTATTCTCATCACTTACTAAATATAATATTCCAAATTGAACTCCCTACATTTTAAGAGAGTTAGAATTTAAACTATGCCTATATATTTTCTTGTCTTATAATTATTTCCATTTTTTATTTGTTTTTGGCACTAGAGTCTTATTTTATGTTTTCCTTTTTTTTTGGCTAGTTTTTCGAGACGCCTTCAGTTATCTGTCAGCTGTTGGTACGAACCCTGAGAGTGTTTACCGAGACTGACGCATGCGGTCTCGACAGTGTGCCGCCATTTTTTTACTTTTTTCCTCCCCCCTATGCAAAACTCCCCACCACCTAGGGGCTGTTTTTTTGCCGGACCTTCGACCCGACACAGGGGAGGCCGCCTGCACACTCGGAAGACCTGCGTGTTCGAGGTGCACTACGGGACTGTAGGACCTGTCCCTATCCCATTGTTCAGGGTTGTCCCAGCCCACATAATGGTTGATTATGGTAGTCTTCAATAGGGCGTTCCATTTATCATGATTGGTTCTGAGCAAGGGATTAAGGAACGCATATATATGTATATGTATATATATATATTTTCATTATCATTTATGAACATGATTCCTGTATTTATAATTTAAAAACACATATATAAAAAATAATGCTTTGCTTGTACTCCACTAAATGATAAATATATTAATAAATGTTAGCGAGTCTATATCTCGCAGCCTTGACTATATCTTGGATTTAAGGGGAAAACTAAATTTCTAATTAGTAAATTTCCCAGATAACTGATACTGTTACATTTCGATGTAAAAATGGATATTGATAATTTCATTTGTAAAATGTGGGAAAAAACCTTGGAATAAACAATTATGATATAATGGTTTCGTTGCATTCCAAAAGTGAATACCATAAATTCTTACAGATCTTCTTGATTTTTTTTTAGTCTTGCATGAAAACTTGGTTGGGAGATAAGATCATTGGGAGGAAACACAATATAAAAAAAAAAAAACACAATATAACATATCATATTAGTTGATATCTTGGTTTTAATTAGCCCTGATGAAGGCCAAAAACTTTAAACGAAACATCGCATACAATAAAATAAGTTTAAATTATTTGTATGTTTTTTCATCAAGTTCTGCATGAACAACCGAATTCTACAATATCTCCACCATTTATTTTATTTTTTTCATCGTAGTATGAGGGATAAGTTTATGGAAAGAACTCATGGAGTCAATGGAATTAATAATAAAAAAATAATGAGGATTCCATTGGCAAGATAAAATTCTATCTAAATAATTAATTTATTTTACATGACAAGTATTTATTTATTTTTTTAAATAATAGTTCTACACAAATATAACTCGTTGTACGATATTTTATCGATTTATCCAAAATCTAATAATATTTCATTGATCAATAGCATATTATGATGATTTAATAATTACTTTCTGTTACTTAACAATGGGGACTGTATTCAAGGAAAATGAAAAATATTTCTTAAACGTAATCAGTAATCATTATTCTATTTCTATAGTGTGTTATTATTATTAATTTTAATTGCAAATAAAAATATCATTACATATAACGAGGGTTAAGTGGATAAAAGTAATAGAGAACATTTTTTAGAGTTCTGAGAAAATTTAATTTAAGTCAGTCACATTTATAGACTATAAAGCCGAAGAATCTCGTCAATGGGCATTTCCTTGAACTTATTTATAAACTAAATACTAAGTTTATGTGAATGGAAGGAGGAAGTATGAAAACTACAATACTTCACTCTTTTGTGGTTAGCAACAACTCAATTATTTCTATAATATAACTTCTATTCTTTATCCAGTTGAGCCATCATATTAAATGATCTTAGTTGATATTTAAAAATATTTTAATTATTATTGTCTATTGCAGATTGCTAAGACAACTCTTAAAACGGGTAATTGTTTTTTTATAAATTTTATTGTCCCATTTGGCCTTAAATAAACCAGATAAGTTTTAGCAAATAATATTATTTATTTTATATCTTTCTTTCTGTAACGATAATTAATATTTTTCTTTCGGACCTTATTTTATACTTTAATACCACCGAGTGTTTCATCCAGAATTTCTTCTTTAGACCTTTTTGTCTCTTTACTGATTACAAAAGAAAAAGAAGGTTGAAATTTCTTCAGGGAAGGAAAAACATAGGAACGTTTCTTCTAACACCCTCCAAACTCCCCTTTCCTCCCTCGAACAGTGGATCTCGTTAAGGAGGAAATTAGGGCACTCTGAGGGTGGGTGAAAAATTCGTTCTATTTAATTTTGAGAACGGTCAGCAAAAAACATGCCTCATTACTTTTATTTAGCCATATTTTTTTATTAATATATTAAGTTTTAATTTATAGGATCCCAACAGGCATTGTTTCTTTTAATTTATTTTAATCATTATTAAATTATTAGTATTTTTTTTAATGTATCCATACTATTTTCTGGTATATTTGATTGATGTATGAGGATTTGTTTTAGTTTATAATTTTACAAATATGTTTTTAATAAAGTAATAAGCTAATAAACTAGATTTGTCTTTAAATTTTATTGCATTAAACAATTATAGCTTTTGGGGTTGTTAGAAGCGCCGTGGGGTGGGCGTTCCACCATACCCGCAATACTTCACCCCTCCAACTAGGACATTATGTGTAGAAAGTACCTTATGATTTTATTATAAGATGTCTGTGTGTGTGTGTGTGTGTGTGTGTGTGTATATATATATATATATATATATATATATATATATATATATATATATACACACACAATAAATTATTTTATTCTACATGGATTAAAATTCTCAATTAATACGATAATTAATGATGTAATATTTACAATCACACTTCAATAGCCTTTAAGAACAATATTTATTTAAGTGCAAATTTAATCTTTTTTTTAAACTATTTTCAACTGTGTGGGCCTCGAGCATATTTAGGAATAAAAAATTTTTTTTGTATTACATTATTGTCTTAAGCATAAAATACAGTTTCTAATATAAAAAATTATCCTGTTTTTTTTTTCTTTTCATCTGGATATTTCAGAACATGAAACTCAATTCAAATTTTATTTTTAATCAGTTTCGAAATCGGAACTGGAACTTTTTGTCTGGCAACTTTTCAAGTAAAGATTTTACAGAATGTTTATTTTTTAAATACTTTTACTTAAAATTTATTTTGATTTCAACAAAAAATTCATTCGTTGATATTTAAACAAATGACAAATTAAAATCAAGTAATTCGTTTAAGATAAATTATAACTCTGGTCTAAACCTCATCGATGTTTATTTTTCATTTCACATATTTTTCTTTCAAGAACTTCAATAAATAAAAGTTAAACTTTTATCGTGTACCTAGAACTTTATTATAAAAAAGTTTCTTAAACTTTTTAAAGACCTCTATAAAACTTTAAACTCCTGAGATATTTAAAGTCCTCCTGCAATTTATCGCCCTATAATCCCTACCTTACTCTATTCTGAGATATTTTAG